GCGCGTGTTTGCTTTCCCCAGCAAAGCCAGTAAAGCCGGGGGGCTGGGATCCTGCGGTGCAACCCCCCCACACCCCGTGCCCAAGGAGAGGATTAGGATGTGAGCAAGGAGCCGTCTCCTGCCTGGGGATTAGGGTGAGTAACGGGCCCGTGCTATGGGGGAAGGAGGCAGGGAAGGCGCCGTATTGCTAGACGGCGATGCAAGCCATCCCCGTGCTGAGAAATAAGGGGGATGCTCGAGCTATAGCGCCTGCCCGCATCCCCGCGAGCTCTGCCCGCAAACCTGGGAAGACCCGGTGCTGCCGTGGCTGCCTGCACGGCTTCTCTCCTCGCAGCCTGCATGCTTTCCCGGAGCACAGGCAGGAAGGCACGGCAGCTTGCCGGCAGCACTGAGAGGAGCAGGTTCCCTTTTGCTACGGGATCTGAGCACTGCAAACGACGCTGGTGGCTGTGGGGATGTCCGTGGGGAGGGCTGAGCTAGTTTGAGGATCAACAGGACTTCACTCCTGGTGAATTCAGGAGGAACAGAGGGCAGAAAGGGCTGATGTTCGTGTCCTCCTTCTCTGCCACCACACATGCTCTCCTGAACTCCAACTATCAATGTTTACTGAGGGCTGGATGGACCCCATAAGCTGCACCAGGACTTTAAATGGCTTGTGCTCCTCCCAGTGCTTAAAAGCAAAATGATGCCTGAGTTTGAAATAATCCACTGGCTGAGTGAGCAGGAAAGCCGGAGAGCATGGCCTTGGCAATAAGGAACTGGCTCCTTCCCTCCCCTGTGCCCTTCCTCCCTCTTCCTCACCCTCATCGCAAGGGGCATTTTCTCACCAGGCAGCTTGGCAGCTCTGGCCAGAGGTCCCACCGGCCCATGCTGCTGATGTAAATGGGTGTCTGGCCAAAAACCTGTATCAAAAGGAAGGGGAAGAGCTGAAAGAGATGGAGGGTGGCAGGGGAGCCCAGAGCCCAGCTGTTCTAGTTAGTCCTCACTATGGAGAAGGGCATTGTCTGCCCTTTCAGACCTCTGTTTCCAAGCTGAGGTCCTCAGGTTTCCTTCATTTTCCAGCCTGAGTGTGTTGTATTCCCATTTTTCCTGGGGGCTCTAACACCCCAGAGGCTGAAAAAGTTCACCTGAGAAGAGCTCAGAAAGCTCCCACGATTTCTGGTGCAGAGTGGACTTACAGGAAGGTTCAGAAATGTGTTGAAAAAGTCGACAAAAACATCATCTCTCAGCAGAAGCCTCATGTCCGTGGAGGCTATGGTTGCTACAAGGGGGAGAAGAGAAAGTTACCTGGGCTTTGTGTTGCCAAGTGTGACGTAAATGTGAACCAAAGGATGAGTTTTGAGAGGCTGGAACAGAACAGCTCTAGGGGATGTGCGATATGGGCTGGTCCTGTGCACATATGGGAGGATTTGGACTTGGGGCAGTCCACGGAATTTGGGTTGCAGTGCACCCATGTGCTCTGGGTGGGTGGCACAGGGTGTTTGGAAAGCACCAAGGTCCAGCTGCACGTAGGAGCTGGAAAGTTCGAATGGCAGCTTTCTAAATAGCAAAGGTAAACGGTTCGTGGAGGCTGGGCACAAATGTGGTGGCATCTGTGGGGCAGGAGAAAGGAGGTCCTGTGGGTGAAGGAGAGGAGCTGTGTTCCTCCACCTTACCCATACAGCAGGTATAACCCTGCTATCAAGGAACCATGCGTTGTGCTTTGGTGCTGCTACTCCAGCCCCACTGCTCTGATGCCCCCGAGTGTTCTTGCTCAAGTTCTGGTAGCAAATCCCCCTAAATTAGCAGGCATCAGCAGGCTGGGGGCAGGCTGCGGCTCTGGGTAGAGTGACAGTTGCTGCAGACCCCCAGGAGATCTACGTAGTGTGCCCAACACCTCCCATTATCCTGTGAAGTTCTATTCATGCCTGAAAGATCTGGAGACAAGGGGGTGGGTTGGCATCAGCCCAATGATGGGTGGATGCCCGTGGAAATGTCCACTTGTGTGAAGGCACAGCTGTGTCACAGCAAGGACTCGTGTTTCAGAAGCGTAACGTTGCTTTTTCCTCACTGTCCCCTTTGGGATGTCCTTAGAGGGGCTGAAGCCTCCAGCAAAGGTAACTTACCAGCGGCTGTCATGCTGCCGTGTCCCAGGGATGTGTTCCGGAGTGCCATGCTGCTTGTGACACGCTTGTCCTGGTGCTCGGTGGTCGTGTGGCTCTTGGGCACCACAGGGCTCTCAGCACCCCCCTCTTTGCTGTCCTTCAGGGATATATCACTTTTCTAATCATAAGCCCTGCAAACCCACTTGGGCAGTCCTGAAAGAAAACCCTTCCCCTCTCCCCACTCAGGCAAACTTCTTGCCTTCAAACTGGGTTCTTGGTAGCACCTCAGTACCATGCATGGTTGCTCTCATTGTGTCTGCTCAGGTGGTGACGGAAATCTCACAGGATACCCTTGCTAGAGCTGCCCTGAGCAAAGCAACCCCAGATTCCTTACTAGCTGTCCTGCTTTATTAGATTTGGGACTGAGACCCAACCTTGGAGACCCTCCAGTGGGAAGAGAAGAAAGGAAGAAAGAAAGAAGCACATCTCACTTGCAGTAGCAGTGACCCCTTTCCCTGGTGGGAGGAGGAATCTACTCCCCAGGTGGGTATTTGATCCTCCTGTCCTCAATGCCGTGGCGTCAGACCTGGCAGGACTGCTAGTGCCCTCCAGGTTTTGGGCACTGTCACGCCTGGGGTCTCTGGCGTGCCTTGTAGCAGGGAGGTGAGTCTGCTTCTCTGTGCTCTTGGTGGGCGTGGGAAGGGTTTTATGGCCTCTCCTGCACCGGGACATCTTTTCTGCACTTGCCTAAGGGGGGCTGCAGGATAGGCTCTGCCAACCTGGTGTTTCTAAGACGCCCTGAGCTTTCTCATTCTGGCCGTTCACAAAACACAGTTGCGTTACGTTGAACGTCATTTCCCCTTCTGTCGCTGTCATTGTGGTCCCTGTTACTGTCACCTGCGTGGGCACGGGCAGGTTGAAACATGGGTAACGGTGTGCCACCTCCCCGGAGCTGGAGCGGGCGCAGGTAGCGGGGAGGCAGGACCTGCACCCCACAGTGTCCCCAGGAGCGGGGCCACCTCACGAGGTGGCGCTGTCAAATCAGGAATACAAAGCTGTCCCCAGCAGCAACAGGGGTCTGCATCTCAGCAATGGGCTTGTACCTCCACAGCCACAATTGGTACAAGGACGACTCCTAATTAATTGTTGGGCTGGTGCTGGGGACCCCAGGATGACAGTCCTGGGCTGCTGGCATTGGCTTGCTCTGTCACCTTGAGCAAGTGAGTTCTTTCCTTTGTGCATTGCTGCGCTGCCCTGTGCGAGGAGGGTAACTGTGGTGCTGTACCAGGCCAGGAGGGACATGACAGACTCGTGAAAGCGTGTTAGGGATCACAGCTGAACTGTCTGTGCACACACGTGTGCCCTGGGGAGATCATGTCCTGCCACACTGCAAGGCACCGGCCACGCTGCATTAATTGAAGCTGTTGGCTTTAACAGCAGTGGGTGGTGTGCACGTCCTCATGGTGCGCATGGGATGTACGTGGTGACAACGAAACCACAAGCTGCAAAATAATGTTTTGGGGACGGACTTTTTACTAGGGCATGTAGTGACAGGATGGGGGGGAATGGCTTCAAACTGGAAGAAGGTAGATTTACATTAGATATTAGGAAAAAAAACTTCACTCTGAGGGTGGTAAGGCACTGGAACAGGTTGCCCAGAGAAGCTGTGGAAGCCCCATCCCTGGAGGTGTTTAAGGCCAGGCTGGATGGGGCTTTGAGCAACCTGGTCTGGTGGGAGGTGTCCCTGCCTATGGCAGGGGGGTTGGAACTTGTTGATCTTCAAGGTTCCTTCTAACCTAGAGCATTCTATGATTCGTGATCTGCTTATTCTAGTGGTGCCAGGCAGTGCTGCGGGAAGGAGTTATGGTAGACCCTAGAGAGGAGTAGCTCCCACCACAAATTCATAAGGATATGTGTTGCTAAACCCAAGAGAGGAGAGGAGCAGGTAGGGATGAGCTGGCGTGGTGGCAGTCTCACACATGAAAGACTTAAAAGTCATTGGGGAAAGGTTGCAACTGTCAAAAATATGTACTTTCTAGTTGGCAACTGAGCAGATGCCCAGTGAGACCCTCAGAGGCTGGTGGAGCTCTGCTGGTGTCTGTATGGCTCTGGGCTAACCTCAGCAGGACTCTGCCAGTTTCTGCCAGGAAAGGACCTAGGTTGTGAGCAGGAACAGGCCGACATGGTTACTGTAGGAATGCATGGGGACACTTCCATGAAGTCCCTCCCCAAGAGGAGACCCCAAGAGGTCCCATTCAGCCCAGCTGCAGCTTCCCAGGGTTTTGCTCAGTGCATGTATGGGCACATCTGTCCTGTTCATCATGCTGCAACGACCCCTTGCAAAAGGAGCTCATGTGAGCTGTGTGGCTACTAACCAAAATAAAATTTAAAAAAAAAAAAAAAAAAGCTTAAAGAGGTGGATGCATGAGCACAGCCCAGATTTAGAAGGGGGCTCGGAGAGGAGCGTAGAGTAGATGGACTCTTTGTACAAAGATAAGGGCAGCGTTGCAACACCAAACACGTCAGAAGGGCTTCGCTCCCTCCCTGTCCGAGCCCGAATTACCCATGTCCTCTGTCCCCCCACATGCAGGGAAGAGCCCACCCTCGGCAGACCTGAGGCCACCTCTGCCAGCGGCAGAGCCTCACACTGCTGGGGTGGCAGAGGGGGACGGGGCTGGGTTTCCCATCCTTGCCCAACAGAAACTGGCCCGGCTCACCGCAGCGGCAAAGTCCAAGGCTGCCCGACCACGGGGTCAGCCTCGATGCCTGCGGTCACTTGGCTGCTCGCAGCCTCCCCAGGCAGCCCAACCTGCCCCTTTCATTGCTGTGGGGAGGGTGAGAGTTGTTTCCCTTCCCCCCTGCCCCAAGCTGTGGTCGGTACCCACCGACCCCCAGCAGCCCCAAACACCTCTGCATGGCTTTTGGTCTCAGGTGATGGTCTACAGCCCCTGCAAGGTGGGAAACTCCAGCATGAAGGAGCAGTGCAAGCACCTTGCTGCACAACCCTGCTCTCCCTCTAGCACAAGTAATGCCCAGAGCGAGCTTTTGGGGCAAGATTCCCCCCCCAGCCCCAGCCTGTTCTCATATAAATAGTTTAGGATACCTCAAAGACTGTCAGCAATGGGTTTGATCCTTTTGGGCCCGTAGCACCTTACAACTTGAATTGTCTAAGGTCTCAGGTGTGGCAGTTCAGCTTTAAATAGTCATTCCTTTCTTGAATATATTAGGATTATTATTTATTTTTTTTAATGCGATTTTCATGCTCGGTCTCCTGGGTGTGTGAGATTTGCTTGCTTAGAGAGGACATCTCTGGTATTTCCTTATGTTAATGAGAAGTATTTTTGAGCCTATTGCCATCTGTCTGTAGCTTCCTTGCCGGGGATTTACGGAGAAGGCTGGGCTCTGACCCCATTACACCTGACAGCCCCTGCAGCACGCTCTGCGTTTGCGTTCCTCTTCTCCAGCTCAAGCGACATCGTTCGCATAACCTTATACGTGTGGCCAGCTCTGTTGACTTCACCGGTCCAGGTCAAGCATGTGCCGATGGCAGGACGGGGACCGAATTCAGCCATAGGGGAGGGAGGACGCGGACAACAGCACTTGGCTGGTTGCCTTTTATAATTTACAGCGTCACGCTGGGATCCTACTGCTGACTCCGCTTGGGCAGCGCTTTGGGGATCTCTGCACTCTCACTTACAGAGCTGCGAAGTGCATTAGTCTGAAATTAATCTGCCAGCCGCAGCTAACGCGGCCCTGACCTAGCTGGGAGCGCGTTTCGCTAATAAAAAAAAAAAAAAGAGGAAAAAAAAAAACACCCCAAAAAACAACAAAACCAACCCCGCCAATGCACACTGCGACCAATTTCCAACTGCAGGGAAAGGCATGCGCTGAGCGCTCCCTGGGATATTCTCCACCCTTGCACAGAGCAAACCGAGCCAAGCAATTTCTAGGTCTCAAATCCCGCCTGCCCCTGACGGTCTCATCTTCCAGCTTCCCCCTGGTCGCTTTTGAAGCCGAGCACGTGCTTCGCGGCGGCGACAGCGGGCGGCCCCTGCTCGCTGAAGGGACGCTCGGCCTCTGCGCAAGGTCCTGCACGTGTTGTGGGGCAGAGCCGCCGAGAGGTAGGTGCTGCCATTGCCGGGGCTGCTGCCAAACTGGCCCCGAGCTGGCACCAGCCATGTCCCTTCTGCAAAGAGCCCTCTCCGGGGCAGGGGGAAGGTGGGGAAAAGGGGGTGGCTCGGGGATGAAGCAATGCCATGGTTTCCTGTCAGGGGTGGCAAGGTGGGCATCGGGCAGGGTGACCGGTGCTGAGAAAAGGGGTGGAAGAGGCAGGAACCAGGGAGGGGGGTTGCACAAGGCTTTTTCTGGCTGCTGTGGTCCAAGACCCCTCTTCCCCTAAATGCGTCACAGGTGGGTATTGCAGCTGAGCTGCATCAGGAGGGAGCTTTTTTTTGTTTGTTTGTTTTGTTCTTCTTTGTGTGTGCCTCTGCACGTTTCTATTTATTAATTGGCTTTCCTAAATTGCAGCCCAGGTAGCCTGCTCTGCCTCCAAAAGCCCTCTGGTCACCACCCCTTGGCTACCCTTGACCCTGGCAGCATCTTCAAAGGGAGCATGGGCCTGCTGCGGAGCGTGCAATGTTTGCTCACTTATCGGGCGAACAGCTACCGCCTCCCTGCCTTGGGGGGTTTCGTCAGCCTCCCGCAGCGCTCCAGGGGAGACCGGTCGGCCACCGCTGCTTGCACAAGGTCAGTCCTACACACCCCCCCAGGTGCAGATGAGTCGTGTTTTCCCCCCCCTCCAGTGAGGTCCCTGTCCTCAGTTGGTGACTGCTGTTCGAGTCTTATCAGGGCAACTTGTTAATTAAGTGCTTGCTTGCCTTGCTAAGGCCTTAGGTTAGTTTTCCAGCCCTTGCTAATCATGGGTAAAAAGGGCTGCGTCTCCAGTTCCTCCAGCCCCATGAGCCACTCCGGAGCCCAGGTCTCAGCGGCAGTGGACACGCTGTGGTGGGTCCAAGCAGAGGCAGCTGTGCCCAGCGGTGGGCAAAGATGGAGGTGATGCCCCATCAGGACATCCAACCCATGTCTAGTCTTGCTTGGGTGTGTTTCAGTTACTTATACGGGACCTTGTAGCCCAAAGCGCTTTCTTGGATGGGTCTGAAAATGGTCTATTTAAATTTGGAAGTGTCTTAGCTGTTTGGCACAGGGAGAGAGGAGAGATGCTCGGCCTTCCTCCCTCCCAGCTGTGCCACTGCTAGAGGCTGGGGCATTTCGGGTGAGTCAGGCCGCCTCCTAGGATCCAACCGGTCACAACAAAACGGACAATTCCTCGCCACTGTGTGACATCTCTGTTTTAAAAAAGAAATCATTAATTTCTATTTAAGATATTTTCTCACTGCTGGTAAAAGGCAAACAGGTACCTAGGCTTGGCGGACCAGGTCTGCGATGTGTTGGGGTTGAGATCCTGGGGGGTGGCCAGCTCTCCAGCTGCAGGGTCTGAAGTGAGGGGCCACCCT